CGCCTTCTCGGGATTGGCGAGCAGCGATTCAGGCACCAGGCCGCCGCCGGCGCCCGCGTGCAGCCCGGCGCCCGCCTTGAGCGCCGGGTGCTCGGCGTCGGCCACGCCACCCAGGCCGTAGGGCACCGGGAAGGCGAACTTGTCCTTCTTGAGCAGCGTCTTGGGCTTGCGCCGCGGCCGGTACTTGTAGTCGGGGTGCTCCTTCATGTGCATGGCGCGCAGACGCTTCGCCTCGTCGATGAACGGCCGCTTCTCCGACTCGGTGAGCAGCTTCCACTCGGCGCCCAGGCGCTTGCTGATCTCTGAGTTGTGCATCTTGGGGTTTTCCTGGGCCATCTTGCGCCGCTGAGCCCGTGACCACACCATGAAGGCGTTCATGGGCCGCTTGACGTGGTCCACCGGCTTGGACATGCTCTCGCCGTGGCGCGGCTGCAGCCCGCCGCCGCCGCCGCCGCCCGGGCCGTCGCCCTCCGCCCGGAGGAAATCAATGTTGGCTGTCCGCGGGGACCCGTTCGGCCTGCCCGCGCTCGCCGCGCCCCACTTCGCGCCCCGGCGTCGCTCCCGCCCGGGAAGAGGGGGCTGGGGGCCGAGCCCAGGGCCGCGCCGCGCCCCGGGCCTCCCTGGTCTCTCCCGCCAGGAACTTCTCGGCGGTGCCCCCACCCCACGGTGACAGTTTGCCCTTTGCTTTCTTTTTGTCCTTCCTCTCCGGCTGCGTTTGCTCGCGAACTCCCCGCAGGTAGTCGCTGCCCCGCAGAACTCTCCTCCTCCTCGGTCTTTTCTCTCTTAAATGCAGAGCAGCTCGGAAAGTTGCGTCGCGAAGACCCCACCAAGTTGAGCCGAGGAGCCCGCCGCCGCGTGCTGCCAAGTGCCAAAGGGGGCCCTCGGCGGCTGGAGTGTTTGGGTTCTCCTCGGTGACTTTCTCATTTGACAGTAGCAGATGGGGGTGGGGAAGGAGGGGAGGTGGCCCCGGAGGAGGAAGAGGAGGGGGAGGCGGAGGAGGGTCCCGGCGCAGCAAGGGAACAGCGCAGCAATGGATATAAATACAAATACAGCAGCACCAGCGGGTCTTCCTGACTCGCCACAGGGCTCGCTGGTGGGAATCCCCCCCACCCCCAATCGGCTGGGGGTTCTGGGGGGGAGATGTCTGCCGCCCCAGCACCTGCCTCGCGGGTCTTCCTCTCCGGCTGCCGGTCCAGGAAGGAGGCTGGAGGCTTGAGCAAGCCTGGGGTCGCTGGGCCTCAGGGAAAATCCTTCCGGCTCGCCGAGGCGCCGCGTCCCGTAGTCCCCCGGGCCATGCCGGCTCCGCTCGCTCTGAGCTCCTCCAGGGGCACCGGCCGACTCGGGCTCCCGGAGCGCGCCGGGCGTGGAGGGCGGCGCTGCCGCGGGCCGGGAACCCGCCGCGACCCTTCCCGGTTCGTCTCGGCCGCCGCCCGGCACTTGCAACTAACTTCGCCCAAGTTTCCTGCGCCCGCGCCGCCGCGCCCCTCTTGGCGCGCTCGCCTCGGTGCGTGCGCCCGCGTGTGCGCCACGCCCGGGGCCCCGCTTTCCCGGCTTCTCCGGCCAGAGCCGAGCAGGCGCCGGGCGGAGGTGCTGGAGGAGGGGATTTAAGGAAAACGCGCCATCACCTCTATTCGCAGGTCCGCGCTGGGGCTGCTCCCGCTTCCCCCACTCCCGTAGCACAGTGGGCCCCTTCCTGGCCCAGGCCGCCACTCCGCCGCTCCCGAGGCGGCAAGAGCCCTGTGCACGGGCTCAGGTGAGTGTGGCTACCTGCGTGTGCACGCGCCCGGAGCCGGCGCTGGGTGTGCATGTCCAGCCGCGACTGAGTGTGTGTATATCTGCGGGCTTGCGGAGGAGGTGGAGCCCAAGACTCCAGGAGGGAGGAGGGACCAGCGGAGCCTCCTCCTGCTCCCACACCCCCAGGACCGCGAATTAAATTGGATCCCCTCCGCCTCCTCCATACTCCTCCTCCCACCCCTCTTCACTCGAGAGCAGGTTGAGGCGAGCGGAGAGCTAGGAGCGCGCCGCGGAGTCTGCGCACTGTTTGGTGTTGGCAACCCCTGGTGTCATCCCGGCTACCCTGTCACTGGTCGCGGCTCTGGGATCCTCTGCCCGGAGGAAGGAGGCGCGCAGGAGGAGGAGAGCCTCTCCAACTACGGCAGAAGAGGGGACGCACTCTAGAAAATGTTGGAGACTTTTCCTAGGAAGAATGCTCATTTTCCTTGGAGGTCCAGATGTTACTTGCAACAGATGCTGCCCGCATTTTCTTGCGCTGGTGACGCACCCAGTCTGAGGTAGTGAAGTGAAAAATAACTGAGGAGGAACTGAGCGTGCTCTTGGCAACCTTCTCGGAAAGGAGCTCGCCCAGGCTGAGAATAGGCATCCTTGGCTGACTGTTCAGCTCTTTGAAAAATCTGAGTGTTTTGTTGTGTTTCTATTCTGGTCGACAGAGCCATCTTTATGCTGATCTCTTTAAGGTACAGTTAACTTAACACTGTCTCACTTAAATGCACAGATAGGGTGAAGGTATTCAGAATCAGAAAGTGTCAAACGTCGCTCTGAAAGAACAAAGTAATACATACCAATCACTCTGTACTGAAATAGCTTTATGCTGTTAAGCTCAGTTTCCTTTAGAAAGAGCAGTTTTTTCCTTATAATTGACATGATGCAAAAACAGCATGATTTTGTTTGCGTATTTTTATCACTTCTTGGTATGCTGCAATACACTCATAGCATGATCAGTCTGGAGGTTTTATTCACAAGTTGGCCTGTCCTTCAGGGACAACTTGCTTGTCTTCTTTCTTTGGCAGTTAGGATTAGACCTAGCCTTGTGGTGTGTGCAAGTAGGAAGTTCTGTAAGTGGTTAACTCTTTTAAGACTTCCCTGCAGTATATGTTCATCCCATACACACACACACAGACACAGAGTACTGATTGTAGTAATAAAAACTGTTTGGGGCCATTAGATTTATTTAAAAGTTAGGCTTGTTTTATTGCTCATTTTAAGAAGAGTGATTATTGCTTTCATTTTAGTTGCTGTGACATATAGAAATGTGAGCCAATAGTGAAATGTATGGGAGTCTATTTTTCTAACAATATCGCAGTTACAAATGTTTACTTTGTATTAGTTATGTCCTTGTATTGCTGAAATAATTGAACTGATTTCTGTAGAACCATATTCCTTTACAGGCTCTATAAAGCCACCCTGTCATTCACAGACTCTGGGTGGAGTAACGTTAAAACACTAGCAGGTGTAATTACATAGACTAGAATATTAAATATACTGTTTTGTGATGATAAACTACAAAATTATCATCCCTGAGCTTTCAACCTAACTTGTATAGTAGGTTTGAGACAAAAATATTATACACTGTCATATGAAGAACATATGTGTGGGGATGCAAGATTTGGAAAAACTGTTATTCACTAAACATTGTGAATGAAGTTGAATCTAATCATGAAAATTATCTTGACATATACAGATAAGGACTGAGAAAAGATATTTATATTGGTGAGTTAAATTATAATCTACTCTTTTCAAATTTACATTTAAAAATCTATTGTAATAAATTATTACCATGGAAAAATGCTCATATATGCCGTTGAAATGTGTGCTTATTTGTACAATGTCTTATAAAAAGTAAAATACATAAGCTTCCTTGGATATAGTTTTATAAATTGTGCAGTATTGCCTGTTACTGATATTAAATGACCCAAATTTGAAAGTTCTTAAGTCCAAGAAGGGTGAACTGTAGAAAACAAAGGTGCTTGCCATACCTAAAAAGAAAATGGCTCCTTGTGTGTTTGTTTGCCTAGTCACCAAATTAAATTTCACACATTTCAAAACAGGAGAGATTTGCTTTTCAATTTCGGTTTTCAGGGGATCAACAGTCTTGGCCTACGCCCTTCCCAGCCAACGCAGGGCCCTCACAGTTAAGCTGGGAGTGAAAGGCAGGCAAGGTGGCCCTGATACTGTGAACCAGCCTTCACACCTCTCCTCTGAATCTGGCTGAGCTATTCACAAAGTTTTTATGCCATCCTCTTTCTTACGTGTCAAAAATGGAAATTCAGTTTTAAAGTCCACAGATCTTATGCTTGAATTGATATGACGTTATATTTTTGTTCTTTTTTTTTTATCTAAAGAAGAAAAATACCAAGATATAGGAGAGAGAAGAGTCTGTGTGAGTGAAAAGTGAAGGCAAAATAAACTGAAAGAGAATTATAAGTTCGATGGGCTTTTGATCAGTAGAGTCTGTGTGGGCTCTGTATTTTCCTTGTGGCCACGTCATACCCGTGATCACAAATCTGTCTCATGAGAAACTGAGAGGCAGACAATCTCTCCAAAAAAGTTTGTGAGTCTGTGTAAATTCAGTTTCTTCTTTTCCCCCTGAAGTCCTCCCCAGTAAGTGGGCTTTTTTCAGTTCTAAAGCTTTCACTAGGAGGCAGCAATGAGGTTGTTGGAGAATTAAAAAAACAAAAAAACAAAACCCAACCTTGGCAACACCAGACCGACTGGCTTTCTTTCTCTTTCTCTTCCACAAAAGAGGGGAGAATATCTGGGTGTCAAAGGAAGACAAGGGATCAGAATGAACGAAATCATTTTCCTCCATCCTTTCTGTCCCCTCTCACGTACTGGATTTTCACCAAGCAGGCTCACCACCACATTTTCCGAACACCATGGAGGTGGTGAACCATGGCACAGAAAGCGCACTAGTGGGGGACCAAGAGGTGAGCCGAAGAAAGTGGCTGGGCAGTAAAGATGACGCCTTCAGAGTGCAGAGGCTAAGTCTTTGCACCTGGGAACACTAGCAGCGACAGCTAAAGAACTTTGTCACAGTTCTCTAGTCCCACTCCTCGACCTCCCTAGCTCTTCTCCATCAGCCCCCCAAAAGGGGGCAAACCCCAAACCTGGGGTCCACAGAAAGCCGAGGAGACAAAAGAGGCCTTGGACCAGGCACGCCGGGAGCCAACCCCAGCTGCACAAGTGGCCCTTCACTGGTTCCTGCTAAGTTTTCACCTTTTTGAGATGTCTGTCCCTTTCCCCTCACTGCTCCTGCTGTACGTGGAAACTGGGACTAGACAAATCAACCATGGAGACCCCTTTCCTCATCCCTCCTTAGCAGTGCTCACGCAGGCTAGCATTTTCCAAAAGGAGCTGTGCCTAGATGACAGAGCAAGAAAAACAAAACAATAAACAGCGTGCTCTCTCGGCTTCCCTCCTCCCCGCCAAAAACACCCAAGGGAAAAAAAGACAACGCAAATAACCCAAGACAGACAACTGCACAAAGGACTGATTTCAGATCCCAAGACTTTCTTCAAAGCAATGGAGAGATTTACCTCTCTGAGGACAAGAGGTTCTTGAAGTGTGAGGGAGCCAGCCGTACCCCGTGGCCCGTGTAATGAAAAATCATCCCAACCCATGCGCAGATGAGGAGACTGCGTTCTGG